TTTTGTTTGGTTACAGAGTCATCAAATAGAAAATCAGACCCCTCCTGCCATGCCTACCTACCTGTCACATCTTCTCTTTAAGAATTCGTTAATAGTTCTCTCTTACGTTCAATTATAAATTACCTATAACCAATAGAAAGTCAAGGTTTTCATCTATCAAATGACGTACTGTACAATGTTGTGTTCTGTGTAATAGTTCTCTCTTACGTTCAATTATAAATTACCTATAACCAATAGAAAGTCAAGGTTTTCATCTATCAAATGACGTACTGTATAATGTTGTGTTCTGTGTAATAGTTCTCTCTTACGTTTAATTATAAATTACCTATAACCAATAGAAAGTCAAGGTTTTCATCTATCAAATGACGTTCTGTATAATGTTGTGTTCCGTGTAATAGTTCTCTCTTACGTTCAATTATAAATTACTTATAACCAATAGAAAGTCAAGGTTTTCATCTATCAAATGACGTACTGTATAATGTTGTGTTCTGTGTCAATTTCACTCACAGTACAAGATTTGCTTCCATGGGAAAGTTAACGACTAGCTTGGATGAATTTGTCAAATTGCCCGAGCACGTATTAAAATAACTCCTGACCAACAAATGAAAACAAACCCACTTCTGAGTTAATACTTACTTTGAAAAGAAACTAAGCAACATCTTGTCCGTAACTTCTTTCTGAACGTTACCGACCCATAAAGATGTAAAACCATTTGGATTTCCTGGACTAAAAGAGACAAAAGATACAAACAAACCTGAAATAAATCAAAAAGGAAAAACTTTGAATATAATTTCAGAAAAACATTCTCAGTTTTTTTGTTTTTTACATAACCAATCTCAGACCTCACCACTATAGTTTTCTGAACACTTTGTAAAACTTCTGTATAACAAAAAACTAAAACTAACCTTAATACAAAAGTAAAAATTATAATCGCCCGGGGGGACAAGTCCCCTCCATTCTGATACATTTACAATACCAATACATATTCTTTTATGATAACAGATTTTATTTCCTCATTTTAAAGCTAAGTTACAATTATAATTCTTCAAGTCAGAACATGACGGTAATCAGAAGGCCCTGGACCTCCATAACACATTTAAACTCCCCAGAGACACTGATCATCAGGGGGGGTACGAATCCCCTCCATTATTATCGTTATACTAAATTTACTAAGAAAATAAAAGTTAAGGATCAGAGGCACTGACCACCTGGGGGACAAGTCCCCTTCACTCTTATACATCTACAACACTAGTACGCAGTAAAGATTATAGCAGAAACATTACAGTTGAAGAGTTACTGTAATAACTTTTAATATAAATGGTACATATCTTTAATGTCGACTTGCCAGCAACCATCTAGAACCAATACCACAGGATATATCACTGGAAACAAACTCTTATAACAACACCACAAATGATGTTTTAAATAATGCTGCTACACATAGTTGCTGGCAGAAGAAGCAAAATACATTTTATACATTTATTATACTAGGTTTATACAGTTTGCAAACTGTAGAACAACATCTGTATTTTCAAACTTCGTATCTCGTTTTGAATAGGAAATTTTTGTTTCAAATAAATAATCAATCATACCCGCAATAGTGCTAAACGGAAGAATGAAATAAAAGCTGCAGTTCGAGACTGAATATTATCTTTTCTTCAGATAACTTTGAGTAAGTTATATTTCCAAATGGACGTTGTATGTATTTACTAGCCACCTCGATTAACTAATGTTACATATAATTCAACGGATTTATTTACTTTAAAGTTTTAAAAGTTAGTTTTGATAAACGTATAAATCAGACCACTAACTCCATTTTCTCATCAGCCGTCTGATTGGTGACAGGCTTAGAAGTGGTGAGAACTAAATCTTCGTATTCATGGTCTACTCCACCCGTGGCTGCATTAATACAACCGCCGCTCTGAGACAAGAGAGCCTCAAGAGCTGACTGAACCGTTCCATAATGAGAAATAGCTGAATCTGCCTGGGCCTCCGTAAACCCCATTTCCTGAGAAGAATTAAAAAACAAATTAAGACTTTTGATCAGTAACATCCTTGGTCAAAAGTAAGAATATAATCAGTAAGTACAAAACAAAAAGTCATCCCTTCTAGCATAAATACAAATAAACCATGAATACAATATTTAGCAAATTAGAGATTAAGCCTAATTCTATCCTTAGGATAGATAGTCTTAAAAACATTTCAATGCAGGAATTAGCAGACTAAATACCCAGAAACACAAGCATCCGTTAGTATTAAAGTGTTTAAAAAAACAGACATACAATAACTGAAAATTATTTAACACAAACACCATAACAATGCTTATCTAATCAAAGCTTTACTTACGTTTTAAGAAAGTTTTTAAATCAGCAGAGATACAGTAAATTGGATAGTACTCCTGGTTTATTATGATATATTTGTATCACGTTACAAAGTTTTTTCTGTATTTGTTTACTGATGATTAAAACCTATTATCCAAACAATATTTGTATGGTTTTAAACTTAAACAATTTGTGTAACTTATATCTTACTCACTATTATTTGTACTGATCTAACTTTCTGCAGTTCTTCAACCGCATCACTACAATCTTTGTCTAACTTGAGAACTTTCTCGAACGCTTCTTCAGCCTCTACGTATTTCTGAAAATTATAAAAATAAGTACACTGATATATATAACATAAGTATTTATCATACAGCCTGTAGGCCTTAGTACTGGTTTTTACTTCAAAACTTTTGTTACAAGTTTAACAGGTTTAAAGAAAAAAAGTAGCATCTCTTAACTGTGCTAATAACTAAGTACAAAATGTTTGCATCTATTCTAATGCAGATAAACCATCTTGGCAGTCCAACATGCTTTTATAATAGAGTTAACCCTTTCGAGATGGGTCACGGGTGTCATCTCGTTTGTTGACTCGCAATCAAAATTTTATTGAACCACTATTTCATGAATTTATGTCGATAAGTTTGGTATCAAACTGTAGATTATAATTCAAATTTTAGAACTATACATTACTCAATTTGTTAATTTAAAAGTAAATATAAACATCGTCACGTGGTATGTTGAATGGAGCACTGGTTCAAATTAGATGTTTTTACTAAGTCTATAGCTTCATACGAATTAGAAAATTAAATTACAGATATTGACAAGTTAGAATATAAAATAAGAAGGTCTTATCTTTTCAATTTGCTAAGATATTGCTCACGTAATAAATCAAACATAGTGGCAACCCACTCACCTCTATCCATTTTTGGAAACGCTCCCTTATAAACACTTACTTCTATATATGATATGAATAACCAATCGGAAGCTCAGAATGTCCCCCTAGTGGTTTTCTCAGTCCTTCTAATGTACCTAGCACCATTTCTTTCTTTTAAACCAAAATTTTAATGCGGTAGATTGTGTCTTTAGTCTGCTCGAAATTTCATATTTTTTTAGACCCAAATACATCTTAGTTACTAAGTTTGATAAATTATAGTAGAGTTCTATAGTATTGGTTTAGTAATTTATGATTTTTAAGTTATTCAAATGTATATATAAAACCTAAAAAAATATTTTGTTTCATATCC